AGGGATCGACTTCGAAGTACGGCTGTTGTCCTAATGTCATGAGTTCCCAAAGTGTTACACCAAAACTCCACACATCACTGAATTGTGTGAACTCTTTCTTCACCAGACTTTCTAACGCTAACCATTTAAGGGGTCGGTTCTCATTGTCTCCCAAACAATGGTAATCGTTTGGAAATAAATCCCTTTTATATGCAAAATGAATGAATACTTAGCTAATGACAAAATGGGCTCTAAATTGATTAAAAGCATACCTCGAGAGCGCGTTATCCGATACTTTGACTAGAAATGAATTTTGATCTAAAGTTTGGACGAAACAGTTTCTTGTGGCCAAATCTCGATGAATTAGACGCCTTTTGTGCAAATAAATGATAGCGGATGCGATTTGAACGGCCATTTGGACCAAATCCTGAGTCAAAAATGTTTGAATTTGTCCGTCATTTGGATACTTATGAGAACTCGATTTCTGGAGAAAAAGTTTCAGATTTCCGCTATTCATGTGAGGATAGATAAGGAGCGGCCGTTTGGGGTCATCAGTACACGTGCCGATTATGCTGAGAAGGTTGCGGTGTTTTAGCGAATAAAACCGCATTCCTTCGGTCATAATGAGTGAAATCTGTACTCTCGACGCCTGGTCTGAGACTGTTTTAATCATAATCTTGGACTCAGCACTCATGTCGTTAAAGTCGGCCACAAAGAGACCGCTATATATCTGACCAAAGGTTCCCTCATTTAGTTTTTGTTGTATAAGTATTTTCCTTCTCTCGATCGCCAATTCATTGGACCGATCGCTCATCGCATCGCTTGATCTGTTGGCCGCGCTGTGGGAGCCGTGCATTATATGCGCGGGCACTGAGAGAGTACGGTATAGAGAAACGGGCGGTGCGTTCAAAAAGCCTTTGAAACTTGAGTAATGGCTCGCATTCTTATGAATGGTCGGATTGTTTGGTGTTTCGACTCGGAAATAAATTTGTCCGGACTTTGTGGACGACATGTTTGTTAGACTTCCGGTAAAACTGCAAAATCAAATTATTAATTAAAATTCACATTTAAATGTCACATCACTTACTCTCCATCGGGTGTTTGCCTTCCCTTCTGAGATCTGACGTAAAGAAAATAACATAAAAGTGCGAGAAGTGCGACAACTAGTATGAAACCCGAGGCACAGGCGACTATTATAGACAGAGCGCCGGTCGACGACTCGTAAGCACTGTTCCCCGACATCGGCTGTAAATCCGCTCTCAACTTGTCGTCTATTTTTGTGACATCTTTTTCTTTTGTTATCATTTTTATGTCGCTTTTTCTACAGATTTTCTTCCTCTTCAGAATGAGTTCCGTGCGATTGGAGGACATGTGCGAAGGCATTGTGATGTTCATCATTATCTGCACTTCTACTTCAGCGCTAGTTTTCTTCGTACATATAAGCGATACGCGAAACACTGATCACAATAAACAGAGTGTCAAATGAGATAACAATGCAATCAATCAAAGAGTGTGGCAGTAATTGAACAAAGATATGATAGTCTGGTAAATACCCTGTTCTCTGTTAGGAACGTAACCGACATCTGATATATTGATTTTTGGTGTCTCAAGTGCTTCGCTATCACTCACTCGGAATCCAATACTGTATTCAACCTTAACATCAAATCACACAACAAAACAAATGTCTTTACTAATCAATATTTACGGCATAAAAAACTAGATATGGCAAGACGTGAGACCAACCATTGGTACGGCTGTAGACCACGTAAAGTGCAGATCAGACATCTCGGTGGGAACCGTTACCATAAACTTAAGCGCATAATCATTCACTTTCCCAAATCGGATGTAATAGATCTCTGCGTTCAGACCTAACGACATAACAAAACCCATTATTCAATTAATATATCATTTCTTATTGTGCGATTGGAGGACATGTGCGAAGGCATTGTGATGTTCATCATTATCTGCACTTCTACTTCAGCGCTAGTTTTCTTCGTACATATAAGCGATACGCGAAACACTGATCACAATAAACAGAGTGTCAGATGAGATAACAACGCAATCAATCAAAAAGTGTGGCAGTAATTGAACAAAGATATGATAGTCTGGTAAATACCCTGTTCTCTGTTGGGAACGTAACCGACATCTGATATATTGATTTTTGGTGTCTCAAGTGCTTCGCTATCACTCACTCGGAATCCAATACTGTATTCAACCTTAACATCAAATCACACAACAAAACAAATGTCTTTATTAATCAATATTTACGGCACAAAAAGCTAGATATGGCAAGACGTGAGACCAACCATTGGTACGGCTGTAGACCACGTAAAGTGCAGATCAGACATCTCTGTGGGAACCGTTACCATAAACTTAAGCGCATAATCATTCACTTTCCCAAATCGGATGTAATAGATCTCTGCGTTCAGACCTAACGACATAACAAAACCCATTATTCAATTAATATATCATTTCTTATAACAGAAACAAAATTAATTCAATTAAAAGTTTGCGCAAAAAAGTTGAGAAAAAGTTCATAAAAAGTATTGCAAGTATTGGGAGAAGTAATGCCATCTTTGGATGCATTGCGTGAATGAGTCAAACATTTCAGTAAACGTAAACACAAACAACACATCGTTTGACGGATCAGTTGATCATCAGTTGATGTGATGTCTGCGACCGATAAGATCAAAGTGTTGGTATTGGGCGACTCGGGAGTGGGCAAGTCATCGCTGGTGCACCTCATATGTCAGGGACAGCCCATCGCAAACCCCTTGTGGACAATCGGCGCCACAATTGATGTCAAACTTCACGAGTATATGGAGGGAACTCCTGACCAGAAGACCAGTTTCATCGAGTTGTGGGACATCGGAGGCTCGAGAAGCCACTCAATGGCCAGAAATATCTTCTACAACGGCTTTCACGGCATAATTCTGGTGCACGACTTGACCAATAGTAAGTCTGAGGCCAATCTTCGCAAATGGTTGGGACACGTCTTCCACAACAAAGACCAGACCATCAAAGATAACAACACTTCGCTCAACACAAGCACTCTATCGGCGGCTCTGTTTCCCGTGAATCCGCCCAACGATGAGATCGACTTCGATAGGGAGGCCTTCTTCGAGAGGAATATCCCTGTCTTAGTGGTGGCCACCAAACGAGACGCCGGACACAACTCCACTCATCGCTCGTCTCAACGCATGTCCTCTTTTGCTGAAGAGTGCGGCGCCGAACAGATGGAAGTGGATTGTCATCAGATCCGGAGTTTAGCCCCGGGATCGACAAATGCGGTCAAATTGAGCCGATTTTTCGATAAAGTATGCGAACGAAGACTTCATAATCACAACTCTTTCAACAATTATTTGGACAGAAATCGGAGACAGTCTTCGCTTCACAGCAATAAGTACTCGCATAACGACTGATCATTGGATCAAATCATTCATTGCATCCAATTTTTATCGCAAATTATTTTAAACTAATTTATAAAAAGTTATATTTTGTGTAAAAAGTATTTTAAAACTTTAAATGCAATACTATTTATGAAAAGTTAATAAAAAGTAAAAATTATTTGGTTTTTATATTCAATCGATTCAAAGCAATGAATAATTGATTTTTGTTTTCATATAGTGTTTGATTCATAACTTATGAATACACTTAAAAAAGCAATAAATTGCTGTCAAATACTTGAGAGACAAACATATCATAAAAAAGTCAAACATTTGTCTTATAATTTAATGCAAACAATTGTTGAATTTATGGATTGATTACATTATAATTATGCCAACAATTTATGCTATTATAGATTTGTAACCAAATATTCACTAATAAATGAGAATTGAATTTGCATTTCGATTGAATTGAATATCAATTAATTAATTGATAAAAACTATTTTATCAATTGAGTCATCAATTGTAGACATTATGACAACTTTGAGTAAATTATATGCAATTATTGAAAGTATATTTGTCGGTAAAATACAGTAAAATTTGAATGCATTTAAGTTTAGCAAAAATATGATACAATTTGTAAATTGATTGACAAATTGAACAGAAATGAGTGCATAAGACATACCAAGAAGTGTTTGGACCTCTTCTTTATTCACGTATAAATTCAGTTTATTTTCACTCAAATCCACACTAAATGTCATTATTATTGCAATTATTTGACAAAATAGTTTTGCACACAAACTAATTGTCTTATTATTAAACATATTTTACATTAAATTAATTGAATATTAAATCACATATAAATTAAGCATAGATTCAATTTGATTACATGTTTGACAATATTTCGGCTAAAATAACAACTAATTAATAAAATTAGTAACAATTAAGTCATATTGAATGAAAAACTAGTTGTAATAATGGGATGAATTGATTAATTGCATGATTATTATGATTATTGAAATGTTGATCAAAACATTTGGTTTGTGTTGTGGTTGTAGTGAGAAGTGAAGTGAAGTGAAGACAAACAATGATTTACACATAAGAATGCATTGCTATTAGCCTTACATATGA